TCCGAATTCAAATATGCAATAAGTCAGTTCATTGAATCAACTTGAAACTTCATGCATAGTCTGAGATGTGTTGAAGACGTTGTATTGATGAGAGGATCCAAACAATCGACCAATCGTTCCATTCACAAACAACAATCTCATGTGCCTCATATAGATTTCCGAATACACGTTCAACTGATCACATCTCAAATTCATCGGCCAGCACCATTCAATCTGTAGCAACATGTTGATTGCAATCACACACATCACATTGTAACTCATTCTGAATATTATTGATCATTACTATTGCTATTGTCACTGTCATTACTCTCATTATTCCACAAACTGTTCGATTAATGGAACATACTCATCAATTTTAATACACACTTCATTTAGGACTCACCACACCGCAACAACAACTGCAAGGTAAGTAAAATGCAATCACACGTATCAAATATGACAGTCTTCTATTTTCATTCACTACAATAAACAATACTAAGTAATCAGTGTATATTTGAATCAATAAGAATTGTCACGTCACACATTTGCAACGATCAACACGATGAATCGACGAACTGTAAACGTTCAATTCACAACTACATGGAACAAGCATCAAGGTACTCATGTCTGACAAACGAACACATTGGGGAATATTGTTGTTAGATTTTTACAGAACGAGTGTTGATTTTCAGATACCTGGAAACTGACAGACAGACAAACATACAGACAGACAGACGAACAAAATTCGTCCACACAATTCTGTCATTCATCATCAACAATCTAACACAATTCACAATGATGTTCATTCACTTGATTCATAAGTGGTCATATCGTCAATTCGTCAGACGACTTCGTCCAACACATACTAATACTGTGAATGTATAACATGCAGACTATTATTTTCATGAACCCATTGCGCGTTTTCGTTTAGGCATTACCATGTGACCTCAACTCCAAGGTAAGTACACAGTTCTACATGTAATAACATGATGGTGTACTGTTTAATTTCTACTCAAATAACCACCAATCAAACAGTGTAGCTACATCAACAATAATTGATATGTTGAGAAGAAGCTATTGGTGAAACAGAACTAGCTGTTCGAATTTGAACTGTGTTCAATAAACTATAAGAATTTTCAATTCTCAACATCACACAGATTAGATGTGATGTGATGTGATGTGTCAATGATGCATCAGTGAATCAGTGTCACTGAACAGACAACTATCAACAATCAGCATAATTTTGATGGAGCTTTGTTCTCTGAGCTGCATAGATTAACTGTGGAGATTTCAACGTTCCTGTGAATGACTTCATCAGCGCAGATTTCCTCAACATTATCACTTCGATTCAACCATCTGACAAAATTCACGATCACCTTCAATCACTCTATTCTATAGTATTTGCCACATCACAAATTCCCACATCTGTGCCGCTCGATCTGTAGTAACATTGTCAATGCATAACATGACACTGATTTTCAACATTTATTCGACTATTGTAGAATCATCTCAATTTCTAACTACTAAATAATATTCTGAGATGTCGAATAGGTGATTGCAACCACATTTTGTGCTTTATTTTTGCACGGACACTTGATCGTTCACGTTGAACATTGTATATTGAATATTTACTTGGTTAGTTTCCCTGTCACATGTCGAACTATCATTTTCCTGAATTTTAACACATTTCATTCAGACACTACACTACGCCGAGAACTGCACTGTAAGTAGTTCATATTTACCTGTATTTACTTACACAAATACAAGCAGTGTCCACGTTCTGATAAACAGTAGAATGTCAATCGGTCAGTGTGCTTTACTTGTTCACTGTGCTCTCGCGATTATAATCATGTATTGTAAAAGAGTTAGTTGTCAACTGGACATGCTCACATTTCAACTAAACATACAATGGAACGTACATGGGGACGGTCTCGTAGCCACTAAACACAAAAGTGGAAGCTGATGTGAAACATGCTAAATAATGCTTCTGAGATTTTCGCCATTCACATTACTACTATTACTACTACTACTGACATTTGATCATGACCGAATTGAACATGTGCACGAATGATAATATTGTTGAATATGTAACACAACATTACTAGTGGTAGTGTATGCATCCAAGTTACAGTAAGGATGAGTAGGAAGTGATCTGGATGGTATTAGGTATTGTATTGCATCATTCACTTCAGACCGTCTTACACAATTCAGGGTGAATTTCCAGTCAAATCATCCATCGATCACATCACAACCATATCGATTGATAACACTGTTTTAGTTGCGGTGAATTCACCATAGGATAGCATGAAATATTTCACGTCAATCGTTCACTCTCTCATTTCAGACACACTGTTCATCCCACACGAAAAACGTAAGCATTTCTAAATAACTTGTATGTGATATATCGGTAGAATCTGTACTTATGTATTTCAAATAATCGTGTTGTAAATAATTTGTGACAGTCGTATCTGTTTAGTTCACTCAATATAGCATCCCAGCTGATTGATTCTATTGTCCGCTCAATTCCACATATATAATGCGTGTGTGTTTGTATGTGATGATTACTAGTGATTTTCATAGGATAACATGAGTTCATTTCAGTCTGTTCGGTTATCGTCACCTGGTTACAATCCATAAAGTGTTAATAGAAGATATGTCACAAAAATCAGCACATACTTGTTCCAGTGAAATTGGTCAAATGTGAATACAATTGAGCATGTGTTGGAGCATTGTCTGTGATCAAGTGAATGTAGTTGAGAAATATAACAATGCTCGGAAATGAATTCACCGTGTGACAGAATATCTCAGTACATGGAATGTGGTAACGAAATACCATATAGCTAAACGATTGATTAACCATCCAATGAATTGGATGAACACCAGTTAATGGTGATTGCGATGAACATGAGTTGCGATTAATCAGTTTGTAAAGAGTCCATGAATCTCGGTGAAATGAAGGCAGAGGAATACAAATAAATGAAGTAGTCGTGTAAATGACGTAGCAACATGACGGTAATATCATCGTGGTAAGAAAAGAAACATTCAACACATTTTCTTCTTGAATACACAAATTTTGTTTGACAAGTTTGTTTGTCACATCTTCAGAAGATGTAAGAGGGGTAGAGTTCGATTGTTGGTTTATCACCTTTGAACATCTAATCATATCAACTCGATGTCCAACTGATGTCAAGTCGATGTTTTGAAACTTCACTACTGAGGATCAATAATCCGTGTAGACTAAGACTATATAGAGCTTATATTGCAAACTAGATGTCATCTACTCCTTCTATTCTACCAATTTAGCCAGCTTCACTGACAGATGCATACACGTCTACACATTCAGTTGGCAATAATATGAATGTGGTAATCACAGATCTCGGATTGTAGTCGAAACATGTTGTTTTGTGTGAGATAATCAGTTTGGCAGTAACATAGACACGTCTCGAACGGTGCCGTTTCCGATTTTCGGTTTATTGTTGATGCGATGTTGTCACCGTTAAAAGCAGGTCGAATGAGAGTAGGAACTCTGTCGACTGTATTTTGTGTGTGGTTTTAGTCGTAACAGTTTCAGCATTTCTCAGTGAAATTTCGTGAACATTCGTTCTTCCTTAGACATGATCTCACTCTCATTAGTTGAACTTCCTGTGTGAGTATCTGTAGTACTATACTCTCTGATCCGTGATATGGAGCTTTTGTAAGCTCCATGTAGTAACTGTTTGGAAGAACGATGTTGAAGTGTAGATCAACTGCACTCCTTGTGTCTATTCAATAAACTGAACATCGAATGTGCCACACTGTCCATTGAATTACGACAAACATACAGTGCAAATGATCTTCTTCTACACGTTGTATGAGTCTTTCGAGCTCTGATACTGGTAGAATTGGGAGGCCAGAATTCACAGAAATATGTCTGTGGTTTGAAAATGTTGTATTTTTGTGAGCGATGATGTTGTGTCAAGAGAAACCATCGATTCATCAGAAATGATTATTTGATTCGTTCTGTGAACAAATTGAAAAACAGCTTGTTAATATACATCATTAGCTAATCGACGACGAACAGGTAAAAACAACGACGATAGACAGTGTGTGAAATTGTGTTCATGTGAATCGGTGAGGTACTTGAATCCTCAGCAGACCTCACATTTGTGAAAAAGGTGAAAACTGAGGTTCTGTAATATTCTCACGTGTTGTTTGCACAAAATTCTCGACTGCGTTGTGGGTGACATCATGTGTTGGATGACGACGTCAACCAGTTGGATTTCAACTAATTCTTCTTCTTCTTCTTCCTCTCCTTCTCATTCTTCTCCTATACACACTCAAATAGCAAATATTTCAATTACTCAAATGAATTTCACGACAGTGTTACTCCATCTTTCCTGTTGTGAAGTGTATTGACGATGTGAGATCACAAGTGTAGGGATAGATCTCCATCACCCACTTGATACAGATTTACATTTGATGAGTTGCGAGTGAATTTCACTGGGTTTTCTCATAATCCTACATGTGAATATCCCTGGGAGAGAGACGATGACTAAGCAGCATTGAAATCCTAGAACAATTTGCTCCTAATATCCTCAATCAAGTCGATCATTTTAAATACACAGACGAAATTCGAATCATCGACCACTTTTGCAAAGACACTGATGTCCGAATTCAAATATGCAATAAGTCAGTTCATTGAATCAACTTGAAACTTCATGCATAGTCTGAGATGTGTTGAAGACGTTGTATTGATGAGAGGATCCAAACAATCGACCAATCGTTCCATTCACAAACAACAATCTCATGTGCCTCATATAGATTTCCGAATACACGTTCAACTGATCACATCTCAAATTCATCGGCCAGCACCATTCAATCTGTAGCAACATGTTGATTGCAATCACACACATCACATTGTAACTCATTCTGAATATTATTGATCATTACTATTGCTATTGTCACTGTCATTACTCTCATTATTCCACAAACTGTTCGATTAATGGAACATACTCATCAATTTTAATACACACTTCATTTAGGACTCACCACACCGCAACAACAACTGCAAGGTAAGTAAAATGCAATCACACGTATCAAATATGACAGTCTTCTATTTTCATTCACTACAATAAACAATACTAAGTAATCAGTGTATATTTGAATCAATAAGAATTGTCACGTCACACATTTGCAACGATCAACACGATGAATCGACGAACTGTAAACGTTCAATTCACAACTACATGGAACAAGCATCAAGGTACTCATGTCTGACAAACGAACACATTGGGGAATATTGTTGTTAGATTTTTACAGAACGAGTGTTGATTTTCAGATACCTGGAAACTGACAGACAGACAAACATACAGACAGACAGACGAACAAAATTCGTCCACACAATTCTGTCATTCATCATCAACAATCTAACACAATTCACAATGATGTTCATTCACTTGATTCATAAGTGGTCATATCGTCAATTCGTCAGACGACTTCGTCCAACACATACTAATACTGTGAATGTATAACATGCAGACTATTATTTTCATGAACCCATTGCGCGTTTTCGTTTAGGCATTACCATGTGACCTCAACTCCAAGGTAAGTACACAGTTCTACATGTAATAACATGATGGTGTACTGTTTAATTTCTACTCAAATAACCACCAATCAAACAGTGTAGCTACATCAACAATAATTGATATGTTGAGAAGAAGCTATTGGTGAAACAGAACTAGCTGTTCGAATTTGAACTGTGTTCAATAAACTATAAGAATTTTCAATTCTCAACATCACACAGATTAGATGTGATGTGATGTGATGTGTCAATGATGCATCAGTGAATCAGTGTCACTGAACAGACAACTCTCAAAAATGAACATAATTTTATTCACCCATGCTTTCAATTCATTTCCATCTTACATTTAAACATGATTCACACAGACACGCATATTATATCTCTGTACTTTCATGCTTTTGCTTATCTTTTGTGCATTGCGATACTTGATTTACTTTGTTTCACTCAGTATATGTCTATTTGTTTAAAATTTCAAGTAGCTGACTTTCTACTTTTGATAGGATAATTTTATTTTTAGCTGTTTATTTTTCACCACCATTAAGTTGCGTTCTTTTTTTTCAAATCAAGGGCGTTTTACGTGTATTCCGAAAGTTCATTCTGTTGACATTTTGAATAAACAGACTGATCTTCTTGTCTTGTCGACTGAACCCAGAATGATGGGTCATATTTTTCTCTAAAAACAACTAGGACCCATTATGAAAAATTGATAACCAAACAACATTTAACTTTAATCCATGCAACTCTTAGATTCCCTATTCGTCACTTCTTTTTGCACACTTCAAGAGGTATTTTGACTTGATTGGTCACATTAATACATATTGATAACATTGATTGGATTTAGTTAACAGTCATTATATTGATAGTAATTAACACGACATACTTCTCCATGATTGTTACGGTTATTATCACGTTTGTTTTAGCCACACTACTAAAGCCGTACAAAAGAAGTAAGTGTTATTCATAAATAAAGTGTAAATAGTATTCCTGCACTTAGTTGATTGTCTATACAACACATGACACAATTGTATGTATAAAATCAAATTTTCACAAGTTCCTCTGAACTAGTTCAATTGTAATATCTGCAAATTCACTGTTAGGTGATGGAGATGAGAATTTCTATCAAGATATCAGTCAAGTTCAGTTCGGAAACATACTCCATCATCAACTATATTGGTGGAGTTTAGTTCTTTGAGTTGGATGGTTGAATTGTAAAACTTTCATTGTTTTTTTCGGAAAAAACATTAGAACAAATTGATGGTAAATTTAGATCATAGAAATTTAGAAATTCCATCAAAACTATTCACTTGAGCTACAAATCTTCTCTATCACTTCATCATTATGAATAGATTCATGCAAACCCGTCAGTCAACTTCAGTTATCCAAAGTGGTTTATAAAGATATTGAAATACCATTTGTAGCGATCATATCTCAGTTCTTACAATCAATATTACTTGGTAATTGTTATTGTTATGATGTGAACTCATATACTACTTGTTTTCTTTTATTGGGGGGGGATAGTACAGATAGACTTTTATACTGTTATAGCTAGAGGTTAGATTCTTGATATACCGCCTACAACTCGAGCACTCAAGTGCTAGATCCCTCTAAGCAACCAATGAGAAGACAGAAGACAAGTGAAAGGAATGCTTTTCCAAACAGTGTCAAGTATGGTACAAAATCCTGTTATTCAAAGTTTCGAGTAGAAACGAAATCATCATTATGGTCAACCAATCTGCACACAGAGGGTTTTAGCATTTGTCCAAAAGGGAAGCTACACGTCAAGATTCTGGAATATTCTTCCGAAAGATGACTGGGTGGAATATCGTCGGCTCTTTCTGAGCTTCCTCGAGTTCAAAAATGGGCCGTCCCCACATACATATTTATCAGTATCTTTAACAAGTTCATTTTTATCGTTAGTATTTTTTAATGATAGATCCCATTTGATTTACTATTCAAAATCAGCAATCACTTGTGATAATTACAAGTATTTAAATCATAGTATGAACTAAGAATCCCAGAAGTACCGTAATCGGATCAAGAAGTACTAGATAATCACAAACGAATGTATTGTATTTAGAATTCGAAATCAAGCATTCAACAAATACGAAGGAATCATTAGTTCATTCAAACACCACATAACTCTATGAATATTTCAGCTTAGTATGGGGTCTTTTCAGAGTAACTCACTCATCTAAGGTTAACTCATGGCAAATACCATCTGTAAATTAAACGAATACCTATTCACGTGTATCCCATATGTATAATTCAGTATCTGGAATATGAATCTATTTCTTTCTTTTAGATGTTTAAAGAAAATGAAACCAAACGAGTAAGTAGGATAGAATGATTGATAAATAATATAATAAATATTCTTTTCATTCATTCGATTGGAGGGAATCAACAAGGGAAAACAACATGCCCAATTTTAAAAAAAAGCCTAAAACGTTTTACATTATAAGTATAGATGTTATCTGTATCAATCTTTAGTTAATGCAATAGTAGTATTCAGCTTGAATTATGTAACATAACTGAAGGGGATATTCAATCATTCAATATGGTGACAATCTAATAACTTTTATTTTTATTGTTAGACGATTGGGTTTAATTCTTCTAGTTTATGAATCTTTGTATGTATGTATAGATATCTTCAGTCATTTGTATCGATTATCAGAATGTGTTTTTGTGGAGATTTTAGAAATTTTCACAGATTGAAATCATAAGTCAGTTGAAACTAGACCACCATTGAAAACCTGGAAGCACTGGACGGCCGTTTCGTCCTAGTATTGGACTCCTCAGCAGTGCGCATCCACGACCCCGCACCACCCGGGGCTTTGGTTGAAGTTAGACATTAACACCGTTGGATGCCTGCTCAGTGGTCTAATGGTTAAGTGCTCGCGCGCGAAGCCAGTAGGTCCTGGGTTCGAGCCTCGAGTGGTCCGGGGTCGTGGATGCGCACTGTTGAGGAGTCCTATACTAGGACGAGACGGCCGTCCAGTGCTTCCAGGTTTTCAATGGTAGTCTAGCTTCAACTGACTCATGATTTCAATCTGTGAAAATTTGTATCGATTGTTTGAATCTTACAAATGATGTTTAAGACTATGATTTATCAGTTTCTTTTTGGTATATGTTCATCTTATGCGGATTGCCCCGATATTGTCATTCTGTCAGGAGTATTAAAAAAACAGAAATAGATGATGGCTAACAGTAGAATTTACGAAGCGAGTTTCGTCCTGTTTCGAACTCGTTAGCTGGATGTACATGCATTAAACTATTTAAGCTTAGATACCATCAATAAATAACTTTGGTTTTGTTATATTCCATCAGATTGAATAGATTTTTCCGCAGCATCAACTTTGAAAAACAGCAGCTTTTTTACATTCAGTTAGAAAAGCTTCCTTTTTGATGAGACTATACAGTAACTCAGATGAGAAGTTTTGTCCCGAATAATCGTTATAACCAGCGCGAAACCTGTATCCATGGCATATAACCGATAGTCAACAATCTCTCAATATCAGTTGAAGTGAACTGAAATGTTAAGTCATTCAGTGTAATGGACACATCTCAAATCCATCGGTGGCGTTTGACTGGCCTTGATATTGTTAATTATTAACGCCACATTCTTTATTTATTAGTGACCAAACAGTGTAGAAACAATTTCTAATGATCATTGTTTAATTATCATACTGTGGGAGAGGACAAACCAGCTTCCAGTTAAAGAGGAAATTAGGAAAATGTTGTAACGGGTTGACTACACATTTAGATAGCAGCATATTGTATTGATCGACTCAGTGACACGTAAACACGTACGAACAACCTAGAGTCCCGATTGGCCCTGCTTCGCTGTCTAGCCCAGCCAGTTGAGTCCAGAACACAAGTCTCAGCCTCTAAGACATGAATCATTATATTTCAGACATACTCTGTTTATATACTAACCAAACAAACCACATCGTACCATAAAATAGAAAACAACATTTGTACAATATTTAACGAGTGAAATAAATACTGACCAATAGGGAGTGTCCATTTAAAGTTCAAGGACACCATTCGACTTAACACGATAATTATTGGTTTATTTTTCCGAATATCCTAACAGAAAAGATGTTGGAAGTGAATAGGATATACATTGAGGAAATCATTAAACTGCATCACGAGGCAAGTGCTAACTTGGACTCTTGAAGGGTAGCGGAAAAGAGGAAGGTTGAAGAACACACTACTTTGGGAAATGGAAGCAGACATGAAAAAGATAAATAACAACTGGAAAACATTGTCCAGAACAGGGTTGGATGGAGAATGATGGTGGACAGCCTATGCTTCTCTACGAGGAGTAACAGGCGTAAGTAATCATATGAAAAATTCATTTTAGTAAAATATTCAAACTTTTATTACATTTCAGTTTGATGAACTTAATATTTGGCTTGATTCCTCGAATGTAAGTCAAATAATTTCCTTTGTGTAAAATATATATTTACTTCATATATTTTTGTGATCTTCAACTGATTTCATTGAAAAAAGAACTCAATTGCACTGAATAGCAATGCTTTTCAAAATTAGAGAATGTAAAACACTCCAAAACTGACATCTTTAGGAAATGTAAACGTTAAGATGGATAGTGTCCAGCAGTGGAATCCATGACTCGCGTTTTGTCCTATTTGGAACTCGTTAGCTGGATGTACCTGCATCTCAGAGCGGATGTTCACTCTGGGATAATGAGAAGATATAAGCAAACAATACCAAGTGAATGTAAACGTTAGTTTTAATGTTGGGGTTTGAATTTCCCCATTAACTGCAATCAACCAGTCTCTTCTGTTAAATATGCACATACTAGATGAAATGCATTGATATTGCAACCAATCGGAGTTTGCCCCGTAAGAAGCGACCCCCTACATTACATGCACCACTTTTGTCAGTTTTTTGTGGATTTTCCATCCAAGAGTAATTGTGCTGTGTTTTTTTGTGGAGTTCGTAGTCGGTTTGAGGGTAACGGTCGAGTGGGTGATTAGCCCGATCCCTACTACCCGGGTTACCACTCACGTTAGTTCTTCGATCATCCGTCCCACTATCCAGGAGGCATGACGCAGACGTGTGAGCCGGATTCTGCCTTCCAGAATTGAAATGACAGAAATGTAAGGTAATTGATAGTCTCGTTATTAAATACAATATTTATGAGATGTGATGTATGTTTATGTATTTACTTTAGAAAAACAATTGAATTCGCAGAAAACGAGTACGTGATTTAAAAATAAATATACAATTTACGCATAATACAATTGTTATTATTCTTTGATATTACGAACTAATCAAGGTTAGACAATAATTGAAAAATTGAAGGTATCTTTTTGATAATCCAAAATCGACAACAATCGGAATCACAGAGGATTGGACAGTTATTTCACCGTAGTGTGAGACTCCTCTTTAGTATGCATCTGCGACTCAAACCAATGATCTTAAATTCAGTACTTCCTGAATGTCATCAGTTCTCAGACTAAGAGATCAGTACTTGACATAAACTATAAAAAAATTCATCAATCTCCATAAAGCGTATATACTAACAGTAATCCTGTGATCGTTAGTGATTAACTTTAAAATGTAGTTCCAGTGAAAGATCATGATCAATGTAGTTCAATCAAGTCGAGTATGAGAAATCATCCACTAGAGACAATGAACATTCATAGCGTAATATTATATAATGATCATTTTTTGAAAACTGTATCCAATCAACTCTACTGTCAGATATCAAAAGTAATTAGTGATTTCTTTTTCCTTTTAGAAATCTTCAAAAGCTTGCAGAACTTATTGAAGAATTATTCAAACATTAAATGAATGTAAAACACTCTTTTTTTAACGAAAATACCAGTTAAAGCAAAAGTTTCTTAATACACTATCAATTCATCATTCAATAATTTGTTTTTGATAGTGCTAATCAATACATAATGATAATAATAATTCACTTGGTATTGTTTGGCTTGTATCTTCTCATTGAGGTTTAAGACTGTAATTGATCAGTCTGTTATTGGCATATATGCATACTGTGAGTATGCCTCGGTATTGCCTTAATTCACAAGCATTTTGTAAGCAGTGATGGATAGTGGCTAGCAGTGGGATCCATGACGCGCGTTTTGTCCTGTTTGGGACTCGTCAGCTGGATGTACCTGCATCTCAGAGAGTTGATGTTCACTCTGGGACTCGAACTCAGTACCGTTCGCTTCAAACGAAACTATCCATCATTGCTTACAAAAAGATAATAATAATGTTTCATAATACCTAAACTGTTGTTCTGCTTTATAAACAGTTAAATAAACAATGAACTTGCTTCAATTATCTGCACAGAAATAACCAATTAGCATCGTTTCGGCTAAAAAACAAAGTGAATAAGGCTACTATGTTTTTATGACTTATACCACCGACTGTATTTAAATAGACCATTTATGAAAAACCCTATTGAGCGAAACAGCTTCTTAGTTTTAGCATGGAGCTTTTCATCTGTAACCTTTCGCTGTTTTATTTTTATCCGGTAATGTAAGTGAGATAAATATAAGTGAACACAGTTTTTTTTCAAACTTAATTTATCACTGAAAAACTGGTCTGTTTTTATTTATCACTTTGTTACACGTTAATAGGGTAAGATAAAAACGAGATTACCAAGAAGAAATTGCTCTTTATGATAAATATTCAAAATGTGATTCCAGTTCATTTGTATAATTAATAAAGATTGGTTGAAGTTAAACATTAACACCGTTAGTTACTGGCCGGATAAGTGGTCTAGAGGTTAAGCGTTCGCGCGCGAGATCGATAGGTCCTCGGTTCGAATCTTGTAGGGGGCGGGACCGTGGATGCGCACTGTTGAATAGTTTCATACTAGGATAAAACGGTCGTCCAGTGCTCCATATTTTCCATGGTGGTCTAGCTTCAATCGACTCATGAATTTAATTATTAAATTGATGGAGATAACTTTATCGGCTAATCAGTATTATTCGGTATATAAATCAATAAATAGCGTTCCGATGTGTCATTATTTGTAATACTGAATGATACATACTCAAGTCTAACCAAGCAGTGTTTCATTACCACAATTTACGACAGTTGTCTTACATAATTAGCCTAGGTGGAATACGGTAACCGATACTCGTACAGTTGTTTCTCTTAAAACCAGTCAGATTGACCACTTAATAGTTTTGCACGACCAGTATATGTTGTCTTTCTTGGGTTTCTCAGTAGTGGAAATGGCTTACATTGTACCTTTCCGACGTTCTTTAATAGGTTCAGCATAGGACGATATTTGATAGTGAATTTTTTGACATCAGTCAGTGACTGGTTCACACTCAACATAGTTGACATCTAATGATAACGGTTTCTCACTAGAACATCTAGAATTACCTCTCAAAATCAGCACATGATCATTATCAGTGATGAAAACTATATAATTCAATAATCTCCACAAACTCTTTACACTCACAACTAATTCCTTGTCCATTTATCTGAATTTACATTTTAACTAATGAACCATCATTAAGATCTATCTGGTCATAAAAAGTAACACCAATAACAATTACAGTGAAAGACTATGAAACTATCGTTGTAACGAAGATAAGAGATTCATGAATAAAATCTCTATAAGGTATAATTTAAATTAGATACAAACAAGACGGATTTTTAGTCAAATTAACTGTCCTAGGATTCTGGAATATTACCATTTTTCGTTAAACAGTAAAAGGAGAGTAGAAACCTGGAAGCATTAGATGGCCGTTCCGTCCTGATGTGGGACTCCCCAGCAGCATGCATCAACGATCCCTAACAATGGAATCGTCGAGAACAAATTATTTCATTTGACCATTTCTATGTGCGCTTATTAATTTACCGGTTCATGTGAAGCCAGATATATAGATCGTTCAACGTTTATTTTACCCAAAAGTATTCGAGAACATTACACCGCTTGGCTGAAAAGAGGTAGCAATTGCTTAATAAGAAGTCCAATGATCGAAAAACTTGTAAACACAGGTCATTCGATCAAAGCGAAATCTATGTTTAATGGCATCTACAAGGTGTGTAGAAAGCTGCTAAAGGTAGTTATATTCTGTTTTCTTACTATTGCTAGGTATACATCTGGAAAAACCAGAATTATGTATCCAAAGGAAACTGATACAACCTCTGCCTCTACCATGGTCTTAATCTCTCGTAATTTTCCTCCCTTCACAGCTATTTGTTTCCCTTTTATCTTCTCTATAGACCTTTTGCACCCAACTGATTTGTTTCTATGATCCTCCTGATTACAGTTTATCTGAATTTCTACATTTTATCTTATCATGCCGGGCCTTCCCTTATCAAGTATAAGTTCCTTACTTACCATCATAATGTAAATGTATCCGCGCCTTTGCAAACTACTTTTAGTCATGTCACAAAAGGCTTCTAACCACTGGTTAAAATAATCACGTGGAATTCCTGTTACTACTTCATTACTCATCATCTAGCCTAAAAAGATAGAATTTGTATGTTAATTAAAATAACCCATAGTGTCATTGAATAAGAAAAAGAGAATCCAGCGAAGAAAATTTTCTTTTCGACGAAATCATTTACTTTAGCTGTACATTCGTATATATAGTTATATGGAAAAGGGGAGCGAAAAACAATCACGAGTTCTATACAGGAGCACTTAATCAACTGTGGACATATCGCTTCAAAAGACTCTTCGTTTAAAATAGTTTACATAGTGTTTTAATTTTAATGTTTAAATGGGAATTATCTGTCAATAGTCAAAGGAACTGGATCGAAGGGGGTTCGAATCAATATTTTATGCACCGCAGAGGCATTGGCAATCCACAAACTAAAGCCTGAACTTTGCGTGCAGAAACGATTTGTTCAACCTCTTATCCTTTCCTGGCCTTAATGGGTATGTTTCTAGGTGTGTGTTTTTAATGCATTTTTATTATTATCCATATTTTTAAATTACTATTTTGCACTTTAAACTCTAATCATTTATTATTATTACCTTTTACAAGTTTTCTTGATTATTATTCAGTTTATTATTATGACCTTTGTTGTTTTGTCGTTTTTCTTCATATCTGTCAATTGGACTATTATCTGACCCTTAAAATTTTGTTCTTCCTTACCCCTTGATTAGTACGTTAACCTCATTTGTTATTTATTGTCGAATCCATTTTTTGATACAATCCATTCTATCCTTCTATAGACATACATTTTCCATATAACTATATATACGAATGTACAGCTAAAGTAAATGATTTCGTCGAAAAGAAAATTTTCTTCGCTGAATTCTCTTTTTCTTATTTGTATGTTACTTATGATGGATTAAAACATCTAATATCCAAGGCATCCAACGCTATAGTAACACAGAAAACCATAGTTTCCCCCCCCATTAGCATGTCTACAATAATGAGAGTATCTTATGCATTGACTGGTTTCAAGACAGATACAGTTTGAATATTCTGCAATGAATGCGGTCAACTGTCCCTTTCTGTTTCAACATAAATATTGTAGAACATCGGTGATTGTGCTTGAGTTTTCGGACATGAACCAATACACTATGTTTAAGATCAAGGAAAAAACGATCTGACTTCAATATAAATCGTATTTATGCACAATCTACAAGAGTTCAAATCAGACTATTGTGTTTGAAATCTAGACTAAATCGTTCATTGCATAACTTTGCCCGTCAAAATGCATTTAACTACTTTTTTTCATGCTTCATATCCTAATCTATTCAGACCTAAAATAAACACGAATTAAGACACATTAATGAGTATATTAAGTCTGAATTTTCATATTATAGACAGACTTTGATGGGACAACCATTTTATCATACTGTGGGACTGCTAAACAGTGTATTCATAACTCCAACGACGACAGAATGCAGAATCTTCAGATCATTGAATAATGATTCAACGATTTATATTTCTAACTTCAATCAACTCATAATATTTTATGAGCATCATTCACTGAAATTAGTGACATGTTGTCTTACATACAACACAGTTAAACTCCACTGCTTACAACTCCTCACAAGAACTTCAAGAATTATTTCTCTATATTCGTCATCAGTAAACACAAGATGATTGTTATTAGATGGTGACAACAATGTAACCCGTATTATCACTGTTATATTTCACATGAAAAAATGATAACCAGAACGTCAACCATACTGATGAAAATAGTAAAACAACAAAGCGGATATATGTTTATTAGATTCTGTTAAGAATATTATGGGAACGAAGATTTTTTCTTTCATGAAATCTTTGTGAACCAATCACAAAACATAAAGTTTTACTACTCTATGAAGATTTACATTTTAATATTCTTTCCATTATTTCTTGAATAATCACATCACGATTTGATAAATCAATCTGAAAGTAAGAAGAAGAAAATGCTTCTTTTCATTTTGGTTGTGGAAATGTGTTCTATTGATACAAAATCAATAATATAACATTAAAAGAAAGAAAACTTAATGATATTGTATCTTGACAAATACAAGTTATATAGGTGTGACTGTAATTTATGAATGACCTTTGAGAGACGCTGAAGTGACCTTGAGAATAGACATTTACTAATTAAGACTAAATGAGGGTTATAAAGTAGTTAGAATTCTCATTTCCAAGTGATGATTAAGGTTAGGAATTAGATTTAGGGTTTTTATCATGAACCGATATCAACTACAATGCCGAAATTCAGGACTTCTTATCTTATATCTGATTGGTTGGTCCATAAACTATAGTCTCGCCGTTACATATATACAATTTGTAGTGTCGGTTACTATATTAAGCGTAGATATAACTTATTCTGGCTTCTTGAACAGGCTAATTTATTCATTCTTCTTTAGTCACGTTTTAACCTTACTAAATATTCACTTATCAACCTTGATTGTTTATTGTATGAGCGTAAATGCCCCGGTACGGCCGAGAGTGGGGAGAGTCCGCTCTACCTCTCGAAATGCTCTCACACGGCCACGCGTATATAGCCTCTGCCAGGGAAGTCCTACTCACTGCCTTCTCGTGGCGGGGGTGTTGTTTACGAAAATGAGAGGACGAAAAACGAATGACCGGCGCTTTAACCGGATTTCAAACCAATGGTGCACATGGGCTCCAGTATCCTGCGGGAACAAATGGCGTATGAACCAATTGTTGGTCACAGGCTTCCATGGGACTGCATCTCCTTACAATGCTCCACTGCCTTATGGATCAGACCCTCAGGTCGAAGGCTCGGGGTGTGGCCATCTAAGAAAACTACCTGATTCGTTCTGGGCACCCGGGCAGTATCACAGCCCTCACACATATCGAATGAGATTTGTGTGGTGCATATGTATTTGGTGCCTCTTTGTACAAATGTCTGTGTTGAAATAAATAAATAATATGTGTGTGTACACTTCATGTTCTATTCATCATGTATGTAGCTTATTTTTGTGTGACTATAAATATCGATTAACACTTGCTTAAATGGAGTTGGCTTAAACGCCTTCTTCGCTGAATGTCGTTTCGTTTCGTTTCACTCTCTTTTCTTTGCTTCATTCCTCTGAATGTCAGTCCAGATTAATGAGTGTACAAAATATACGTTTTCAAATATCCATTCTCGTGTTTGACTGACTTATTTAATTCCGTTATTCACTAACCCGGATTAAGTTGATAATTATTAACGAGGATAGGCGATATATATATTATTATTTACAAACATTTATGTGATATAACTGGAGTCAAATTCCGGGCCTGATATAGAGTCTGATGTAGACGCTTCCTCTATGCACGTGCTCAATCAGCTACTTGAGTGAGAAAATCAATAGTTTATATCAGCTTCATCAGAAAGTTAAACTAAATCATGGCCAATAGTATGTGCCTGACAACATTCTTTTATTTATTATTTGGTCTATTTCATAGATCCAGAGCATGAAAAACCTACATCATCTATTCGCTTATTTGTTAAGTAACATCTAATAACTTCCTTTAAAGGTTAGTTTTCCAGTCCCTTGATATCCATTCATTGGAATCTGTATGTCAATAGTTCCATCTTATAATCAGTTATTAATTAGCCACACATTGTATCGTTAGGCATCATTTATTGATCACATAAATAACTCAAATCGTTTATCAGACTACAAAACTAATCAAAATAATAAAAAAATCATAGAAAACTCGATTCAATTCAATTTAATTAACTAAGAATTGATGCAAATGCATGACGTTAGAACTTTGTCCTTTTTTTTTTTCTTCTTTTGAACAGGACAAAATACGACAAACTACCAATTCATCAAATCGAGTTGAACAGAAGAAATCAAGATCAGAAGTATGTGTAACTGGATTAGTAGTGCAATTTTCCTTCTTATTTTTTTGTGATTAAACTCGATTTGTGACGATTTTTTGATTAACAATTTGTTATTAAAATTTTTAAATGGTAGGAAAAAGAAACCGATCAATGTTAGAATAACATTGAAAACCTGAAAGCAATGGATAGCCACTTCATCCTAGCATAGGACTCCTCAGCAGTCCACGACTCCGCATGCAGGTATGGAACACAGGACCTTCGGTCTCACGTGCGAACGCTTGGCTTCTTGACCACTGAGCCGGCGCATTCAGCAGTGTTAATATCTAACTTCAATCAATCTAATCTTGCCCAAATCTTCATCGATCACCTGAGGTAGACGACTCCCACACCCGACACAGATAGGACTCTGCTGGTCATGGCTTCTCACCAGAACTCTGGGAATAACCTCTCGAAGCTGGCCACTAGAGAGCACATGATAATTATAAGTATAAGGTGACCAGTGGAAATGAACCGTATCGAGTGTGGAAGGCGGTCGCGCAATATTGTAGATTGGTTAAAATCGGACATTGACGTAGTTGGATCCCGGCGGTCTAGAAGTTAAGCATTAGTGCGCGAGACCGAAGGTTTTGGGTTCTAGTCCCGCGTGCTGAGTCGTAGATGCGCGCTGCTGAGCAGTCCCATACTAGAACGAAACGATCATTCAGTGCTTCCAGATCCCCAGTGGTAGTCTAACATTGATCGGTTCATAATCTCCATGAAATCTCAACAATCTCTACAACCCTATGCTGACAAAACTGATTCTTTTTTAAAACTAATGAAATTTACCACACAGGTGAATTACAGTGTAGAAATTTACGAGTACAGTTCAATAAAAAAAACTATAACACAATTCTACCATCTATAAATCTGTCGGCACAGCAAGTGTGGTAAGTATATATAAACCGTGAAAATAATACCATGGCGTATATGTCAAAATACCTAGTAAATTATTTATGGACTTCAATCATGGTGTAATTAAAGTTTTGGGTAAGGTAAATCAATTTATTGTATTATGCAAAATCACAATACAGTGAATACAACAATTGCACAACTTCCTTAAATTGTCGCTTTCAAACTCCATCGTACTTCCATTTCTGTTGCTAATCCGACCGCTTTTGATTATTTTTATCATCTCCTCGTTTCCCTCTTCTATCAGTAAGAATCATATTTCCAATTACTGATACATAGTACTAATATCTGCCAGTATAAGTAGGATATACCACAATGGTTATCAAGAAAAAATATCAATTTAAGTTGTTTTTACTTCCTAGTTGCAACTATACAATCAAAAGTTCCATGAAACCATAAATATATACGTATATCATTTAAGCAGTATTTCTAACTTACCTCTATTATCGAAGCCTCCTTCATTGAACAGATATGATCGACCAACGGAATACCACGTGTACCATCTTGTCTTTTTGGTGATGGTACAGTAGCCAAAAGAACAACTGTAGGATGTTTTATATCACGTTGACTATTTGTAGGTAAATTCGAAATTGATGAAATCAACTTTTCAATTAGATAAGTGAACTTTGATGAGCATAGCTCCATTTTACCAATTTCGTCAATGATACAGACTATTAAATCATTTTTTCTTACATTGTTAATAGAAGAAACGTTTTCCAAATCGTTTATAATAGACTGTTGATTATTATGATTTCCAATAAGGAAGATAGACCAAAAGAAAAGAGGAAACTTTGAGTCTTTTTCACTAGATAAAATACTAATTATCTATTTATATTACATATTTTAAAATCACCTCGTTACAATGACCATCATGAATTACCTCAATGAAATTAGCTGACCTGTAAACAAGGAATAGCCAAACTCTCAAACGATGATATATTTACTAGGTACTGACCAACACGAGGTTGACGTTGTACTTGTTGACTTGAATGGTTAATTAGACGAGCTAATGAAGCTCTAGGATATGTTCGAGATGAATCGAATAGAACTACATCAAATCCAAAACGAGTAGACTTTCCTGAATAGAACTGTCGAACTTCTTCTGTCTTAAAACCAACTGCCTGTATACCATTTTTAAGAAGCTCTTCAAAAACATGAGAAACCAAAGTGGTTTTACCGATACCTGTCAAAAGATACAAATTTACTTACAACCAAATACCGGTAAATAGAATAGGAAAATAAATATTCACATAACGCTGAATGAAAGTAACATGTTAAGATATCAGTCAGTCAGTCAGTAACAACGTAGAACTTCGTACGTACGTACATCAGTTCGAGTTGCCACACCACATTAGCACAAAGATGCAGTTGTCGATTCAAATCCCGTAGTGGTAGAGGTAGAAAGAGTATAAGCAGTAATCGGGAAGATTAGGGTTTGGAGGTGTCATTTAAAGAGTATAATCCAGTGAAATAAATTTGGAAAGAGGAAAAAAAGGATATGAAGAATTCAGGAGATTAGAATTCGGGAGAACACAAAGAGTGGATGCACCTGCGCCATTGCAAACGATTTTGAGCCATGTCATTCAGGGTCTCTAACCATCGGTTGGTATCATCTCGCAGTCCCCAACCAGGTAATCTACACCAACCAATATGACTCAGTCCACTTGTCAATGACTTCATGGACTTGTGCCAATGTTAAGATATGGAAAAAAGCATCACAATATTTGAGTAATGTTCGGTACCCAATACGACTAAAGCATCAATAAATGATAGTTATCAATAATAATAAGTAGGAACTATTTACAATTATCAATAGTAAAAGATGACATGGAGTTTCTGTGAGAAAAGATATCTGAAATATAAAAAAATTTAGGTCGAAAAATATCGTTATTTTACGAAGACACAAAAGAACATAACAGTATTCTATAATTTGTATTATTCCAAACTAACCCATTCCTTCGGGAATACATTTCTTGGTTACTGGTAAGAGTGTGGAGTGATTATTTATTTCCTTGTGTATTCTAGTTTCTCTACATTGAATGTGTAAATTAACTTAAGTTTGAGGTTAAGAGTATGTATCGGTGAATAATGCCACCCTCAAACCAAGTAGTGTAATAGAAACTTAATACTCGTTCTCAAACTTATGATTTGTACTGAATCAAACTATCAGAAGGCTACAGTGTGCATATGCTGCTCATGAATTCTTTACTTAGTCAACTAATTCATCTCGTTGTCATTCATGTCTGTTTTCAAACTATTAAGCTGCTACCTTAAGATCAGTATTAACTTTTGACTCATCCAAGTTGGATTTAAAGCAAAAAAGATAACAGGATGCGGAGCAATGCCAGTTGGTCGTATATGCATCATGAAATTCTGTAGAATTCATCCTTTTATGCTATAATTTTCAGGCTGAACAAATGAGATATTTACCTAATAGTAACTACTGATAAAAAGATAACTAAATCAAACTAATGAAGTAGATTTTAACCATTTATTTGGACACAAACTTTCGTACAAGGGGGCACCAAACACATATGCGCCACACAATAACAATGAGATCGTGAAGAGAATGGATGGCGAGTATAGAAAAAGAGCAACAACCAACAGAAGTTAGTGTATGAGAGTGAAATAATAATAATAATAATAATAATAATAATAATAATAATAATAATAATAATAATAATGTGAGAAGCAGTTCAGTTAGGAAAAATACAACCAGAAACGACTCTTTCCATTAACGAAGTTACTTTCACTTTTGCGAAAAACGCAATAAAAAGTTACAGCAGGATCGCCACTGGCTTCTATTCTGAGCCATATCTGACGTCTTTAACCACTATGTCCCATCATCTCTCGGACCCCAGCCAGGGAGTTGTGAAGGAACAACAAAACCCAGTCCTGTACAGCCTTTTTTCAAACCATGACATCATGTCATACACTAACCACTTCTTCGCCTTTTCCAACCAGTCCCAGAGTCGACAAATAGTGCACGACGTGCAATTCTCAGGGACGGCATTCTCTGGACATTTCCAAGACACCGAAGTCGATGTTTCAAGATGGTGACATCGATTGCATTATCGTCTCTGGGCTCGAACACACGATGTCGAACCTCTGCATTACTAACATGGTGTTGCCACTGGATGTCAGCAATCCTTCGGAGAAAACGATGACCGAACACAGAACGTCTTCTAACGTCCTCAACTCAAAGAGGCCAGGTTTCACAAGCATAGAGCAAAACTGCTCTCACCGACGCGTTGTAAATCCGACATTTTACAGACAGACTGACATCACAAAGGCGCCAAAGATAGTCCAGATTGGCATAAGCCGCTTTGGTTTTCAATATACGTATATCGATCTCATCACTCACGCCACCACCAGCACTTATGCAGCTACCTAGATACACGAACTTCGAGACCACTTCTAGCTGCTCACCATCCAGGGTGAGTACAGGATTAGAATCCTGCCAGTCTTGTAGAAGTACTTTGCACTTCGAAGGTGCAAAGCACATACTATACCTACGGATACTGATTGCCAACTGATTAAGTGCGGATTGCATGGCTTGGGTATTATCGCATAGTAAGACAATATCATCCGCATACTCAAAGTGGAGAAGTTTTTATCCAGGCAGCAGATCCACACCACCATTACTTACATCCATCAGAGCTGTTTCCAGAATGTCATCGATGGCAAAGTTGAGGAGGAATGGTGAGATTGGGCTACCCTGTATAACCCTACTGCTTGAATGGAGACAGGTGGTTGTATGTGTGGCGCATATATATTGGCGCTCTCTTGTACCAATATTTATGTGTTCAAATAAATAAATAAATAAATAAATGCCCTCACTCTACCCGAGATGTTAATAAACTTCTCAAGCACACCCTTCTTCAACAGACAATCCCAGAGAACAGTCCTGTCCAACGAATCGAAGGCAGCCCTGATGTCAAGAAACACTATGATTGTTGGCAGGTGATAAGTGTGACGGTTTTCTAACATTTGGCAGAGGGTGAGGATATGATCAATACATCCACGACCAGAACAAAAACCAGCCTGCTCCTCGCAAATCAATCTTTCTCGGGTTTTGAACAACCCACGAAGTACGACGGAAGCCAATAGCTTGGATGCAATCGAAAGTAGACTTATCCCCAAAGAGTTGTTACAGGAACGACGTGAACCCTTTTTAAAGATAGGGACAACTATCGACTCATTCCATGACGTTGGTACACTCTCTGGTTCCTAGACCTTTGTAACAACACAGTCAGTTCTTTAGTCAGAAAGTCACCACCATCTTTAAAAAGGACCGGAGGTAAGTCATCTGGGCCCGGTGATTTGTAGCGCTTCAAGAGTTGCCAGAGCAGCAGGCCAGTTGAACTGCCCTTCGAAGAAGTCTGCCCACCGTCCAAGATGTCGATGGATGTTGGTGATTGGCGTCCCGTCATCCTCAAAGATTGTTTCGCTCACACCAGACTTCTTGCTGCCAGTGGCTCGGATGAGTTGGGAGAGCTTCCGGTAATTGCCAGATGCAGCTGCTGCTTTCAGCTCATTATCACGCTCCAACCACCAGGCTTCTCGGTCCTCACGAAAGCTTTGCCCGATTTCATTACGTAACAGCCTTGGTTTCTGGTCAAACGCACGATCACGCGGAGTAGACCGACGGGCTTTGATGAGCCTGAAGAAACCCAGTGCTTATAAGCGGGGCGTTTTGCGAAGCCACAAGCGGCTTTACTCGCCATTTTGATGGCGTCATAAAGTTGCAACCAATGCTCATCTACACTTTTCGGTGGGATGGTAGCTAGCCTAGAAAATAGCTCGGTTCGATACTTACTTGCAACAGAAGTTGCAACCAGCTAGCTAACATCAATCCGTTGGTGGCGGTCACTTCGTTGGCCACTGAAAAGTAAGGTGAGATTGGCGCAGACCAAGGCATGGTCAGAGTCCAGATAGGTACTCCAAAAGGAGCGGCAGTCTTGTACACAACCACAACAGCGGTAGCTGATCGCGATGTGATCAATCTGAGTCCAGGCTTCAGATGCAGAGGGAGGACATCAGGTGGCACATCGGCAATGACTGTGCCGAAAGTTAGTGCTAGCCAGAAACAGGTTGTGGTCAGTTGTGCACAGTTGCAGTAGACGGTCCCCGTTATCTGAACTGAGACTAACAAGTCCCCATCGGCCACCTAAACGACTCTCTTCTGTGCCCAGACGCACGACCTGAGCATTCAAGTCTCCGGTTAGTAATACGATATCTGTCGAACGCACTTTCTGGAGAACAGTTAACTGATGGTAGAATTCATATTTGATTGCATCCGGGCTGCAATCTGTCGGGGCATAGGCGGATATGACGAAAAGACATCGTTTCTCGCGACGATCTCTTCTCACTTTGATGGAACTCTCTAATCTAAAACAAACTAAAACAAACGCTGATCATTTATTATATGTGTCTATATTAATTAGATAAATGTTATATAAAGACAGAATTTTAAATACATGAAGCCCATTAAAGCAATTAACACACACCTGGCCTCCCTGTAACTAGCAAAATATTAGACGTTGACATACTGTGAGGGGTACCTGTTGAAGTTGAATAAATTCAAGTCTCCACGCACTGGAAATGATTGTTTTTGGTTTAATTTGCACGTAACAGGTATCTCGTAAACTGAAAAATAAGAAGGCCATTACAGTAACCACAAAAATGTATAATATAACTCCAATAGTGTATAAACAAATAGATAAATTCCGGACCGAGTAAAAATAATCAACGCTATAAAAATCCCACATAAATCAAGGTCTTATACAAACCGTATAAGAAAATAAGAAAATCTAAGCCTATATTGATACACTATATAAAAATGAACAGATTCAGTTAATTCTATCCTAAGAAGACATGTACTACTTCATGGGTGAGCTTATCATGATAGCCTAAACTAATCATATTTGAAGCTGATAAAAAGAAAAAGCTTGAACAAAATGACACTAAGAGATTTCATCATAACACAAAGAGGAAATAAAACAGTTTAGCCCCACTTTTTTCATCAAGTTACTTTTTCTTCTTTTTTGAGCAACAGGAGAGTTGTCACGTAACTAGCATTTTTACACTAAAATCATAAAACAGTGACAACTTTTAGGGAATTAATTTGTTAAAAAATTTTCTCTACAACCATAAAATGAATTTAACATAGTGCGTAAGCCAAATCGAAAGATGTATTTGCTCGTGGTGCAGATTGTACGACATCGTAAAAGCCTACTAGACGTTTGACCACTAACAACTGTCAACACTACTGCCTGGTTTTCGTGTTTCTCTTATAGAGAAAGAGTGGAAGTATTAACAGGTGGTAAGATTGTGTAGCCTTTTTATTGTATTTTCTGTGACATCAACAGAAACACTCCTTGATTATTGGTATTTTAAACGGTCATTTATCTATTCGGTTTCGAGCCCCAGAACGGACTCTTTCAGCTACGGCAGATACTGAAAGTTATAATAACTCTAGCTTAGATGGTAGAGCACATAACGTTGTTTTGTATTGACTTCGGGGTTTTGCTGTCTTTGCCGTTAGCGACACAACGCTAGGACGTGTCGGAACATATTTTACATAATTGGTAGATTTTATGTAAGGGGTATGACTATGTGTCAAGTGCAAAATCTTATCAGACATTCCGGTCAGATTCGTCAAGTCTAAAAGCTGGTTAGCGGCGTAAAAGATTCGCCTTACAGTTGTTGGTAAGCATTGCATCCATATTTATTTTAAAAAAACGTCATCGATCTTGCAAAATCCAACTAATTACTTCATCTGTCGCAATAACTTGACCCGTTCCCTAGCTTGCACTGGTTCAGCGGATGCAGCTGTTTTCCATCTGATAAAGGTTTGTTGAATAATCTTTAACCTATCATAGGCTTTCGCACTGGGAGACTGTTTATAAAATCAGACACCTCTGCTGCAACTTCTGTTAGTAAAATTTCTAGCAAATATATATTTTGAGGCCTGTGAGCGTATGTTGAGATGAAGAAATCGGACTTCAACTCATATACACAGGTTTCGTGTACTCAGTAGTAGTAAGTTAATCGAACTTAACTTAGTTAATCGATTCCTTGGTCTCACTGTTTATAAGTTTGATAAATATACTCCATTCCAAGAAAGTGCATGATCAAGTGAGCAAAAGATGTACCAGAGAAAAAACATGTCAAACGATAAGAATGTGAACTCATATAAATATATATATATATATATATATATATATATATAAGAATAGATTAACATGATGACCACAGTTGTTAGTATCACAGAAAATATGCCGACAAAACCAGAAATTATGGCACGTCCCGCAAATTTTTTGAGTCATTTTTCCTGTCGGAAAACGCATCGATCAGACAGTAATGGCGACGGCTGGAACTAGTTGGGCTCCTAGTCGCCTCATTTATATTCTGGACAACACTTCCGGCCAAAAAATTCCTAGTAGACACTAGAGCCAAAGTTAGTGCGATCCCAGGTACCTTAGCCAGGCAACCGATTACCAAAACTGAAGAACTCTTTGAGTGCAACTAGTAAAACCGAAATAGAGATGTTTGAAAAGCAACCGCTGACATTAAACAGATCTCTTTAAGAGATGCGTCATCAACTTTGTAAGAACTAATAAGTCCCATAGCTCATATCTACTTAATAGTTATTGTAGCAGTTTATCATTCGACGAAGAAATTTACTGGATAATCATTTACTTTAACTGATCTCATGCATCAGAAAAGGGCACATTGTCTATCAGGTCTAAGAGCGCTGCTGCGAATTCTGTGTGCGGACTTATTCAAGATGTAACGATTAGCAATGTTATTATTAATATACGAAGAATAAAAGTTGACACTATAAGCCGAACTGACGGCATCAGAGCACGGCCGTTCGAATCTGCCGCCCTTTCGTTTCAGTGACCTTGGACGGCCTAACCAGAAGCGGTCATTCCGTATTTCAATTGCCTTGGGTTAGTTGGATTGTATGAGTATCAGGTTTTTTCATATTTGAGTCATCTTCTGCTGCTTCAAAAGGCACGAAATCACTACCAAAAGTATTGATTTAGTATTCTCTGTTTTGTAGTGTACACGTTGGCTCTGTTGTTGCTTCGTAACTTGATCTGTGATCCCAACTGCTGTAGTAAACCTCAACGAAATGTCAAGTCACCGGTAAACCCTAAGTATTTGTAATATTTCCTTGGGTTATTATTGTTGCAAGGAATAACCTTTCATAATTTATGATTTCTGTTTGTAGTGCTTCATGCTCAAGTGACATTTCAGTCAACCTTAGGGTTGCCTTTCAAAGTATGGTACTGAACAAGCGTTTCGCATGCTGGGATGACTTTGATAGCGCACTGAAAGAGCTCCAAAAAGTATGGATGAATAATTTTATTCCTTCTCAGACTACGCATACTCATTACATCCACACAGAAAGTTGTTGAAGGATGTCAGGTTCAAATACCTGTTTGTAACGTTTCACCGTACATTTGATCATCAGCGGAAATCGGAAGGTTTAAAATTGAAGCAAAAATCGTGAAATCTTTAACTAATATCTGATGTTGAAGGTTTTAATTCCGTAATTGCCAATCCAATTTCCGTGTAAGACTAGAGGAGCAAGGATATGTCATCAAATCCTACAACCTGCTCCACAATCATCCATGTAGTAGTTCATGGATGGTATGTGATACATGGACAAGAAGATTGTCATCCGAAGAAAAAGAAAACTTGAGGCCAGTAATATTGCACTGTCAGTCAGCAGATGATCTTATAGAAAGTATTAAGGAGAGAACTAGTAAGCATGTTACCGCTGCTGATGTCAAAGCTATGAAAGGTAAACTCTCCTATGGTAAGTGTATAGAAATATATTTCAGGTTGCACTCGAAAGCAGGTCATGGATATGCTGCAACAAAAAGGTGAACTGAGAGAACATTTAGCAAATGGATATTTAACGAGAATTTTTTTCAGTAGTTATGAACAACTACAGTTGTACAAGAAATATCCAGAAGTTCTGTGTATTGATTCTACGTATAATACTAATAATAAAAAGTAAATATGTTTTTCGTGGTATTCCAGTTGGCAGTGACAGATAATTGTGGTCGAGGACGTACTGTGATGTTTGCGTGGACGCGAAAAGAAATGCGTGCAGATGTCACCTGGATACTTGATAAATCCAAAGAAATAATGGGAAGTACAACAGCGACAGAATGCTAAATCAATACTTTGGCTGTTATTTTGTGTTTTGTAAACCGGTCGATGCTTAAACGGTGTCTTCATAGTGTAATAACTCAGGTCCTCAATATAAATGGGTGTAAATACAATGTGGAATTCGGATCTTGTACGAGTAGCCTGTCGGGTTTTGTAGTGAATTCACAATCCATTGATGAAATATACGCAAGTCAATGAGACACTGCAGTGATATCTGTCGAAAAAAGAAATTAAGACGGAATTATACTGAATCTCGCAAGGTTACCAATAATTAACTATAAACATGAAAAGTTTGACATATCGTCACACACGTTTTATTTGCCACAAACAGTTTTTCTGTATTGCCCATTGTATGCAGTATAGCAAAACAATATGGGGCTATGTGGCCTGTGTTAGTCCCGGTATTGGTAGTCTCTCGGTCAATCCAACTTCCCTTCGAAAACATCGATAGATGGAGCTACGATCACGTGTTGAAGTAATGAATTCCACTCATTGATGATTCAGTGATAAATTCGATAGTCAGCTGACAAGTAAGTTGTCCTAGGCTTGTGAACGTTTTGGAATGTTTTCGTAAATTTTCTGTTTTGAGAGACAAGAAAAATGAGGGCATATCATATCCAAACTAATCACTTAGTAATTTGAAAACTGTAGTCAAGTCACCACTGATACTGCAATGCCCCCCGCAAATGCCCTGGCCGAGTGCGGGGTGGGTTCGCCCTCCCTCTCGAAATACTCTCACTCGGCCACGCGTATATAGCCTCTGCCAGGGAAGTCCTAATCACTGCCTTCTCGTGGCGGGGGTGTTGTTTACGGAAATGAGAGGACGTAAAGCAAATGTTCGGCGCTTTACCCTGATTCCAAATCAATGGTGCCCATGGGCTCCAGTATCCTGAAGGACCAAATGGCGTATGAACCAATCGTTGATCACCGGCTACCATGGGACTGCATCTCCTCACGATGCTCCATTGCCTTGTGGGTTAGACCTTTAGGTCAAAGGCTCGAGGTGTGGCTCCCCAAGATAACCACCTGCTTCGGTTTGGGCACCCAGGCAGTATCTCAGCCTGAACACAAAAACATGATATACTATCTACTTATGAAAAATATTCCTCTCGCTCCAAATAACAATCGAGTGACTCGCATTATTATTATTATTATTATTATTATTATTATTATTATTATTTACTACGTCATTATTCACCCTCTTTAATTCCCACTCAGTTTATACTTTTTTTTCGACTTATACAGCAGCCCGTCTATGGTGGAAATTCGACGGCATCTAAACGTTCTCGAGTCACTGTCCGGTTAAAAATTGTATGTTACCACCGAATATGAGTACTGAAGCAGTTTTTCTGAAACCACGTGCACCATTCAAACTGGCTGCCTTCAACGTTTCCACACTAGTGCAGGTCGGACAACAGATAGGGCTGACTATGTCTTTGGAAAGTCTTAATATTGATGTTTGTTGTCTATCCGAGACCCGTATTCAAGACTCTGATGACGTACTACAAATTAACAATCAATCTGTTGCTTCAAAAAGCTTGTTTCACGTGCGCTTATCCGGGGACCCTGTGCCACCTTCGTCTGGTCTTGCTGGCGTTGTTGTCGCACTAAGCGCTAGAGCTGAGGCAGCGCTGATCGATTGGATCCCCATTATCAATCGGTTATGTGGTGATAGATTAGAGAGTTCCATCAAAGTGAGAAGAAATCGTCGTGAGAAACTATGTCTTTTCGTAATCTCCGCCTATGCCCCGACAGATTGCAGCCCGGATGCAACCAAACATGAATTCTACCACCACTTAACTGTGCTTCTCCAGAAAGTGCGTTCGACAGATATTGTAGTACTAGCCGGAGACTTGAATGCTCAGGTCGAGCGTATGGGCACAGAAGAGAATCGTTTAGGTGGCCGATAGGGACTTGTTGGTCGCAGGACTGATAATGGGGATCGTCTACTGCAACTGTGCACAACTGACCACAACCTGTTTCTGGCTAGCACTAACTTTCGGCACAGTCATAATCGATGTTTGGTTGGAAAAGGAGAATAAGTGGTTAGTGTATGACATGATGTCATGGTTTGAAAGAAGGCTATACAGGATTGGCTTGTGCCTGTCCTTCACGAATACCTGGTTGGGGTCCGAGAGATGATGGAACATAGTGGTTAAAGACGTTGTCAGATATGACTGAGAATAGAAGCCAGTGGCGATCCTGCTGTATTCTTCCTTTACTTTCTTCATAAAAGTGGTTGTTTCTTCCTTAACTGAAAGATTTTTTCTGATTGTATCCTTCCGTTCCTCTACCATTGCTATTATTATTACACTACCTTACACCAATCTCTTCGTTATTGATCATTATTATTTCTCTTTTACGTTCCTCACTTTTTCTTCTCTTCCTTAGATTCTCATTGTTTTGTGTGGCGCATATATATTCGGCGCACTCCTGTACCAATATATATATGATCAAATAAATAAATAAATAATAATGTGACAATGGGAATATGTTTGGTTTAGCCAGTCGAGCATCGTAGGGGAGCTTCGCTGTTTCAAGATTCAGTGTTCACTGAATCTTTCCTGTAATTCCACCGTCTTTTAAGGCAGGGGTTATCCTCTTGTATGCAGTAATCAAGTTTAGAACACACGAATACTGTGTATAAAGTCATAAAGGCTTTAGACCCGACACGGGTAAAGACCCTACATATTGACTATGGGGTTCTAAAACCTTTGACGGCTACTTTAGTCTTCAGTAATGTGATATTCAGAAAAATATCTCAATAATTATCCTGTTAAGTCTAATGGTGTCCTTGAACTTTAAATGAACATTTCCTATTGGTCAATGTTTATTTCACTTGTCAAATATTGCACAAATGTTGTTTTCTATTTTATGGTACTGTGTGGTCCGTTTGATTGGTATATAAACAGAGTATGTCTGAAATATAATGATTCATATCTCAGAGGCTGAGACTTGTGTTATGGACTCAACTGGCTGAGCAAGACAGGGAAGCGAGACCAATCAGAACTCTAGGCCGTTCTTAAGTGTTTTACGTGTCATTGATTCGATCGATAATACGCTAACCTCCAATCTGCAGCATTTCACGTTACAACAAGTAATAAGGATAGAAGGTCTATCCTTCAAGTTTGTAATACTGTGGAGGTCCAATTTCGTTTTGAATATATCAACGGAAGGTGCTGATATTACGTGTTCTGGTAGAGAATTCCAGTAATTTACTACTCGGTGCGAGAAACGAAACTCCAAAAGTAAACGATTTGATCTCGCATTTTGAATTTTCTTCGTATGTCCTCTCAGGTGATCAGTCCTGGACGGAAGTGAAAGATAAGACATGTTAATACTAAGGTCATCGTTCAGTATACGATAAGCCGATATTAGATCACCCCGTACTCTACGGTAAGATAACGGAAATAAGTTGAGGTGTTTCAGTCTGTCTTCATAAGATAGGTCAGATAGACCTTGTACCATCTTAGTACCTCGTTGTTGGACTCTTTCCAGCATCTCTGCTTCATACTTGAAACAAGGACTCGCTGCTTTAATTCCATATTCTAAATGAGGTCGCACGTAAATCGGGTATAATAATCTAAACATTTCATCATCTAAATACTAGAAAGATTTATGTATAGACCATAATACCCTATAGCCTTTCGCAGCAGCAGCCTTGCAGTGACTAGTGGTTTTGAGATCAGTGTTTATTAGGACTCCTAAATCTTT